GCGCACGCCAAGAAAGAAACCCTGCATTATCACACAAAACGAGAGAGACCTACGACCTTTACATTTCGAAAACATAACAAATGGTCATTTAAAAAAATCAATTGTGATTGCAAGGTTCCCTATCATCGAAAAACGAACGATTGGATCCTCGTAGCCATTGACCCTGGGGTGCGAACCCCGTTCGTCACGTACTCACCTGAAGAAATTGGAAAGAATGACGCGTGGAGATTAGGGTTACAGGTTAAGTTCCCAGAGAAATCTTCTAAACAATTCCATGTCGAAGCGAAAGATGGCGCGATTGCGAGAATCTTTCGAAAGATCAGGAATCGGAGCATCTCACCTAGTACTAGTCACATTATGCATTCCGGCAGCGGCTGAAACACAAGGCCGAGGAAACAGGCGCGATGGTAATCATCCAGGACCTGCAGCTATAGTGGGAACATACGGAAGAAGAGACAGGGACGTAAACAGGAGCTTCCTACGGGCGTTGCTTGATGGAGCCATCCACATGTGGATGTAGGGATTGATGATTTAATGATTATTAATGATGTATTACAATCAATCGAAACCCCCAAACAATGTGTAACCGATTTACAGTGGACGCTAATAACTTAACTAACGCTTCGTATAAATAGCTGGTCGAGAGAACTATCGCTTCTTTATTATAAATTGTTCTTTAAGCTACTCTGAAGCCTCTGACTAATACACGCACGTTTACCCAATAGCTCATTTAGTTGCAATTGATATCATGGATGACTCACGCGAATATACTTTCCATTTACTATTACTACCTTAAATGGTGGTTTTGAATTGCCATCTATATATAGGATGGTGATAATCCGAAAAACTGAATAACGGCAGATCTGTATACAAATTGGGGTGGTTATTTTTAGATTCTGTTATTGTTATTAAAATGGCCTAATATAGCAATCGAAAATGAAAGCATTTCCGCTTTAATCATCACTGAATAGGCAATTCTCGATTGACTATGGTTAATCGAATATCGTGAGCTCCAACTGGAGAGAATGTTGTATTGACAATAAGTCCATTATCGTGCACGTTTTCTCACAGTAACAATAATATTGACGCACATATTGGCTGAATTATTATGGTTCCGCAACATGGAAATATGCTACACATAGTTTCTACTACATCTCTTTGCACACACATCAAACGCTATGTCCAAAACGTACTTCTCCTCATGATTCCTGCGTACAACCATTTCGCGCGTGGGAAAACGCACTCGTCAATGAACCCACGCGCAACTGGCGTGTACTTTTCTTTCCCCTCGTTTTTGGGTCCAGATTCTTTGTTGTCGTATTTATAATTTAGATTGTAAGTTTGTTTATGGAGATCGACATATTTTCTGGGATGTAATAGGACAAGTATTACACAGCCAATGCACCTTGCCTGAAAACGTCAAGTCTACTAGTTTAAATGCAATTTCCTCAACATTCATACCCTGAGGGTCGCTTTCGCTTTCTAACTTAATTTTTATTTTATTTTTTTACAACTCTTATTATATCGCGAACGACCGAGCAACCCTGTGCTGCAAGTTGTCCTTCACAGGTCAACTACAAACTTCCTGGGTCGTATACGCATATAAACTTCTATCAAAATGTGGTCAAAGTTCGTCGGCCAACTGAGAAATTCTAACGGGCAACCACCTCTGGCTGGCTTGTTTGGTGGGACGCCTCCAGTCTCCCCACAATTAAATTCACCAGACAAGCCATTTGTCCGCCGACGTTCCATGTTAAACTCTCCAAAAAGCCCACGCGTAACTGAAGCGAAACGACGAAGTAGCATACTATTTGGCGTAACTGATGATTCAGACAAAGAGAAGCCATCGCGAAAAAAGTGAGTACCAGTTTATGATAGATTGGTTTTCAATGGATGCATGGAAAACAGTATTTGATTCTATGAAAATGCCGGGTTTTGCAATGATTGGGTCATTACGCGTGGCATAAGGGTTGAAAGCTTTGATTATGTCCGTTCGGAATGGAATGGACATGTGTCAGATGCGTCCTTGCTTACAAGCGATCGCTTCGTTCGTAATCGACTATATCTGACCAAGTTTATGTTTTCGAAATGTAAAGGTCGTAGGTCTCTCTCGTTTTGTGTGATAATGCAGGGTTTCTTTCTTGGCGTGCGC